ACGAGTCTATGAAACGATGCTTCGTGGTCACAGGTTAGGTTCTCGTTCCTGCTGCCTAGTTCGCGGCGCCACCGCCCACGCAACGAGCGCTGCGTGCCAATTAATGGCATCGCGGCGATCGTTTAATGCGGCCCTTAACCGACCTGCGTGGATAACAGCCGATTAAAAACAATGCCGCGTGACGAGATTCACTGGAATCCCATGGATAGGGCTTTTGTTCCTCGTATCGAGCGATCTGGGCATTACTATGACACCCACGCGATACGCCACGCGAACTACGCTATTTTCTGACTATTTTTCAAAGAAGAGTGAACCTTGGTAAATATTTTTTTATTTTTGTTCTTGCATTTTTTTTATTGGAATATCTGTTTCTGAAGAAGAATTTGGAATGTTTTGATTTGTGATTTCGAATATCTTTTGAAAACGTTGGAAATGAACATTTCTTTGTGGGTGGGCGATATAGAGTGCTGTTTGGGAGTTATGGTTTGGGATTATAGCATTGTGAGATTTTGAATTTTTATATTATTCGAAATAATTGTTGGTGGGGATCAGAGATCGTCAGGAAGGGGAATTTTGTGTGGACCAATAGCGTGAAATAATTTGTCATATTTTGTGTTCGGAAATACTAATTTTTGTTGTGTCATTTCGAATTTTTGTTTCTTATGTTATTTTTGAGGTAATTAATACAAGAGAATGAAAACAAGCGAATTAATAATATCGAATAAACTAAAGTTTAGAATATTCATTTGTAGCATTATTTAAAATAATTTATGCACGTGAAATGTAAGAGAAATGTCGATTCTCCATAGATTAGTGATGTAAAATCATTTTTCAATATCTTTTGAAATATTAACTTCTATTATAACATTTCGAATTTTGATTTATTAAATTAGTTTCATAAATAATAAAAATGACAAGCAACGGAAATGGAAATTCTATAAGCATTGAATATTTTATTAGTATAATAAAGTATAATAAAATAATTCAATTTCCATTTATTCAAAGTTTATTAGATTTACTATCACATAAGGGAATATCGTTTCTCAATTAAATATTTTATAATCAAATATATTTTCAATGCAAATTTTCTTCCACGATTTTCGACTCCCATGACAGTATATCAATTATTTAAATTAAAAAATCATATACAATCATAAGCTTACCAAAAATCATTCCCATAAAGCAATTTTATTGTAATATAACATATATATAATTTTTATATTTGAAAAAATTCTAACTTCATCCTGTTTGGAAAGTTCCAAAACAGATCTTCAAAAAAAAAAAAAAAAAAGAAATTTCGCCTGTGTGATTTAACGACGAAAGTCTGAATGATAAAGCAAACTTAAAACCATACAGTTTCGTAACTTTCGATAACTTAAGATATCAGGAAACTGCGATCAAAAAGAGAATCTACATGCATGATCGAAGGCATACGTGCGTGACGATAGACAAATTTCTGTTATGCAAAAGGAAATTGTTTGGCGATGAATTTCACGTGAATCGCGTAATCACGTTTTTAATATGACGACTATTCTTTGGTTCTTTGTTTTGTGTCTCGTGTCCTGTATGTTTATTTATTTTTATTACAAGGTGTACGTCTTTGCTTTTTACCTTGCAAAATGGTATTTTCCAAATGACATATATTACAGTAATCACGTGAAACCTCGGATGGTATTGGGTAAAAATATTTGTATAGGTTAGGTCACTGAAGACGAAAATTTATCACGAATTTCATTGAATTTCTAAATATTCAATTTCTAAAATTTGAACAACCGAAAAGGGAAAGCTGAGAAATTTCGTATAACATAGAAATAAAATTAAAATTAAAAATTAGAAATTAAGGAGGGAGATTAAAAATTTTTTAAAATCGAGAATCTAGTAATTAAAAAATCTAATATAATATTTTACAGCAAGCCCTGTGTGACAAACAATTCGACAAGACATAAATTCGTTGATTTAATTCAAATAATTACGTGCAAATTGTAACGTAACTTACATACTTAAGTTCATAAGTAAGTTTTATTACATTCCATCACTGTAATTTATATATCACAATAAAATATCTTCGGCAACCACCATAATTTAAATTCTTTCAAAATTCAGTCTCGTGTTTCACAAACATGTACACCTTAAAAACAGTAATCATCTTGTTTTCTTAAAAATAATTTCAATAGTCGTGTCTTAATTTTGCACAAATTTTCAATAACTCCATCGACCGACTCGCGTAACGATATACCCAAACAAAACAACTACATTATTACCAGAAAGAAACGAGCTCGCACCTTTTCCCCCCCATTTCGATGGCAAAGTGCGTAAGAAAAGTTTCATTTCAGTCAATCACGTACGATTGATTATTCCGAGGACACGGGACAACCTTCGTCTCGATCGATGTACCAATTTCCCACTCCCCCGCCCCTCATTGCCACGCCACGACCCGTAAATCTTTTCCCTTCTTTTCGTCTAATTGCATTTCGTCCCTGTTTTTCCCCCCCTGAATCTACAGATTTCAGCTCGAGGTCGTACTCTCGATTTACGGAATAATTGAGAAATTAATTCGATAATAGCCTCTTTCGCGTGTTCCTCGGTGATTTATATTTTCCCGCCAATTTTCGATCGATCGTTGTAATGTGTCCAGAATATTATTATTATTATTATTATTATTATTATTATTACTACTACTACTACTACTACTACTACTACTACTACTATTACTATTGTTATTATTATTATTACTATTGTTGTTATTATTATTATTACTATTGCTATTATTATTGTTGTTGTTGTTGTTGCTATTACGGTAAATAAAAGCAACACAAGTCGTTAAAGGAACGATGATTGATTTCTTCCATAATGATTAGCCATGTCGAAAGTGACGATTGAAATTACCTACTTGTATAACATTTCATCGAACGCGCAGGCGCCGATATTTACATGGAGGCGTGTCCAGTTAATGGCGCACATCCACGTTGTAATTTAAACTACTTGGGAATTTTGAGAAAATTGAAAATAACGGATGTATCTCCTTTTTCATTCCCTTCTCTTTCATTATTTTATTACGGGAAAAAGGATTAATTTTGTTTCTATTTGTATGAAAAAAATTTCTATTTGTACGAAAATTTTGAGATTTTCTCGGTTAGAACTTTATTGAACATAATTTTATTTCCAACGTATTTCAAAATTTGTCTTGCTCGCGGCGAATATGGGAAATTCCAGCACAAATCATGAGAGTATATGTAAATTTTCAATTTCTTAAAATGAGGTATAACCTAATCATGTGTATCCCTCAATCTTATTTTTTCTCCTTTTTTTCAAATGTATCACCTTGATAAATGCATAAGCTCGTGTTTTAATAAAAACTTCCCAATTAGCCCTTCCATTACTCATTTTACAACTTTCTTAATAACCAGATGTATCTTGATTAACAACCAGTTACACGTTTAATGACTGGTCAAGGCAAGAAAAATTAAATTATGGTATATTAAAAATTTACTTCTATACGCATTATAAAGCAAGAAATTGATAAATGCAATTAACTTAAATTCACATTACCAAATATCGATCGAGGTAATGATAATAATAATAGTTTATTAGTATTGTAAAGTGAAAACAGAAAGAAAAAAGATGTAAAGGAAATAAGAAGATAAAGAAAGTAGAAAATTATAAATACTATAGTAATTCATAAGCTTTTTCGTAGTTTATTTATAAAAATTATTTATAAGCTCCGTATATTTCTAATAATATAGATGTTCACGAAAAAGACCATAGCAATAAATTAGAATCAAAAACTGTTTCACTTTGGACACTGTCAACCACATATTGCTTTTACAAACATATATAAAAATAGACATGGCTTGTTACAAAATTATTAAAATTTTATAAGAATGCAAACATTATCTAATTGGTATAACAATAAAAATAATTTTAAAATCATTATGGATCAGTGAAATTTTAAGAAATAAAGTGATTCAGAGATTCTTACTGCTATTACATACTGTACTATCAAATTTCAAATTTATGTAAAATTGTAAATTAATTTTAATAGAGCAAGATTATCGATTAACCACGACTAAAAAAATAAAAAGATAGAAAATATTACAATTAAAAAATTATAATTTATTGTAACTTAAATTATAATCATAATATCCAAAAAAATAAACCCAGCATATTTTACATATCATTTAGTATATTTATTACATTTCGAGTAGACAAACATTACCCATTTCATAAAAATCCTGTTATTTGAAACTAATAAAATAATCATACCTCACTTTTCAGTTACTTGCACAATTTTTACTTATGTATACGTAACTTTTACAGAATAGCTATCACACATCCTTTGCAAAATTGGAAGTACTAATTAATAACTAAATACCGCATACCAAAAAATTAACGAATCAGGAAGAAAATATTTTTCCACAAAAAATTTAAAAAATATGTACGTAAAATTTCTGTGAAAGATCTAAATAAATATTATATATAATAAGTATTGTTGGACTACCACCAAATGCCTTAGAAGTCAAGTCACATCACATTTTCAGAGGTATGAAATTCGAAGAAATATATAACAAAACAGTACTGTACACTCAATATATCCGTTTCCTGTATCTACAAATACATCGTTAAGAAAAAAGGAGAATGATTGTCGCTTTTTATTCAATTTCAACGAGGAAATCACATGTTGTACCTGACCTCGAGAGATCCTTTGAAAGACGAGCAGACGAGAGACGGACAGCCCGGAGTAATGTCAATGTCACCACTTTAGGTGTACCACTTGCTTCTCAGGGTGTGGTCCCCTCCTACGGGTCGTCGACTCCCTACCAGATTCACCTATATAAAAGGGGGCACCGTGGCTCGACAGGGCAACACATCAACGTTGGTACTTTAGGGCGAGTACTGGTTGCAAAATTTCCATTTGAATCGACCAGCAGCGTTCTTTCTACACGATTAACCATGAAAATAATAGTAAGTATGAGTATACAGGGACTTTTCTTTGCATAATGATGGTACCTTTATTGGAGAAGCTTTTGAGGGATGTTGAAGAGGTAGAACTGGGTGGGTTTGAGTTGGGAGCCAATGACAGGGAAGTAAGTGGAATTATAAGTGGAATTTATTAGGTCAAGGCTGGCTGGTACAATATTTAGAATTGATTATTAAATTGAAAAGTCTATTTTAAAATTTAAAGTTAGTTAAATTTTTGTTGAAATATGTAAAATTAAGAAATTTAAAGTTAGATACATTTAGAAATAATGATTGGTTTTAAAACTGATTATTGATCAATAAATATTCAAATCAAGATAAATGAATTACAAAGACTTAATTATTCAAATGATTAATTTGTTGGTCTTAATAAATTTAAAGTTGATCATGATGTAATTTTTAAAACTTTCATTCTATATAGATTCAGGGTAACCTTGATTCTATTACTGCATTTATGTGAACATTTGTACAAAAATTTGTATTTTTCATTTTGTATATTATTATTGTAAATGCATAACTTTAAAAAATTTTTTCATTTATTCTGTATAAGAATTTGACAATTAAAAAAGGAAATTAAACTGATGTTAAAAAATGAGGACTGTATTGAATATTAATTACTAAAAAATTCATTATATATTACAAATTAACTACTATTTTAGTAAAAAACAATATGAAAGAATAATCTATAGTCATTATTTATTAACGGCTAATCAATTTTCCATACCACTAGATTTCTCTGTATGGACATATTAACATCCCACATTCTTGCAGAAGCTTCATTACATAAATGATTACACCTTCTCATTCATGGAATCAGTCATAAAAAAAATTCATTTTATACTTTACTACTTTTCCACTAACCTATTTCTTCTTTTTTCCACTAACTAGTTTATAACTAGTTTATAATCATAAGCTAATTATATAGAAAGTATTTTAAACACTAACACAATTTGAATTCATTATACCAAAGCCTCATCCTATAAGATTAATCCAATTAAAAATCCTTCTAACTTCCCACTACACTTCCTGCATTCCTACCTTTTCTAGATTTCTTCCCTCATTTCATTACATTCTACGCTTTTAAAAATCATTACTACCATTTTGACCCAAATCTTGATTATAGTTTATCAAATATACATCATACCTAAGTTGAAATCAAAACTTCTGAACCACAAAACTATCGTTCTATTACCCATATTCTTATTATGTCCTTTCATCAATGTAGATCTTTCAATACTTTTCCATAATAATACATATTTCGAAAAGATATCCCAGTTTTACTTTATTTAATACACCTTTACCTATTTTTTATATCGTTTATCTATATTCATTCCAACAAATACATTCTATTAAATTAATTTAACCCTTTTAAAACATTAAACTATTCTTCTAAATTATAGGTCATTCTTGTCACAATTTATTGCCTGGTCATCGCAAAGGCCGAATATGTGGGTTCAGTGTTGCCGTACAACCACCTAAACGTGCGTTTAGTTTATGATGACAAAGTCTTAGACACGCCGGAAGTAGCACATGCAAAAGCAGCACACCTCGCGACTCAAGCGTACGAGGCAGCAAGGAATACGCTTGGTTACGCTCACGTTCCGGCTCTACTCCGTGTTTATGCACCTGCAGTTGGCGCGCCCATTGGTGTTGATGGACGTGTTGTCGATACACCTGAGGTCGCAGAAGCAAAGGCTGTTCATCTAGCCACACACGCGCTGGTAATTGAAAACAATTATTTCCTGAGAAACTGAAAATGCAATGGTGATTTATGGTTTAAACTAGGGTGAAACTTTTTTACTCCTTTTGTGACATTCAGTTTCCCTTAGAAAAAATAATTTATGAAGGAATTATTGAGTAACAATGAAGATGCAAACAGATTTTTCAGGATCTGTGGTTATAACATTATCTATGAAATATATTCTTCTAACTTTTCAGTAAACTAAATATTTTATTTTATTTATATCATAGTGAATTAGCAATGACACTAAACTTCCTACAATTTTGTTTTGTTTTGAAGGAGGCTGCAAAGAAACTAGGACTATACCCATATGGTGCTCTAGCCTATACCTCAATACCTTATATTTATGGGTCTAATCATGGTGCCCCCCTTGGTCCCGATGGAAGAGTAGTGGACACCCCAGAAGTTACAGAAGCAAAGGCAGCTCATTTAGCTGCACACGCTCAAGAAGCTGCCAAAATTTCTGGAAAACGCTAATTATTTTTAACAAAGAAATTTATAACGAACAATGATGTAACAATAAATCATAAAATTATCTTTTATTCGGTTCCTTTCCTTATGTATATTTTCAAAACATTCATAATACAAAATAAATTGTGTCAGCGAGAAAAGTAAGTCAGGTCACAAAAATTATGCTATTTCTATATGGGCCTTGTACAATGAATTTCGATAATGAATTATTTTACCATTACACAAATTAAATTTAATATCATTGTTTTTAAATAACTGGAATATAATAAAAGTACAGAAATTGATACAAATTATATACAATTTTTTTATTGGTTAAATAAAATTCTGAAATAATCATTCCTATTCTGAAATAATAGAAATTATTGTTATGTAGCTTTTCCTAGTTCAAGAGCTTTATGTGCCATCATTAGTGCTCCTTCTCTGGTTAGATTTCCACCAATAAATTTGCCTGGATGTACAAATATAGCACCTTCAATTCCAGAGGCTTTTACAAGCATCTCATCTCTTAAACCTCCCCAAGGTTCTGGTAGACATAGCCTATAAAATCACAATGTGTTATAATAATCCTAGTAATAATTCAACTGTCACTTGACTAAATACCTCATTATAAAACTCCCAACATGCACAGGTACAGTGTAAATCATATAAGGACCATTCTTACAAATAACATATTTTATCAAAGGCTGTATATTTTGTTCTTTTTCTATTGTTATAAGATGTTGACTCCATGGTGCAAATTGTAATAATTCTACAACTTCCCCACTAGGATGAACCTGTAATTATTTATTACAACTTCTGCTTAAAAATCTTCATGAAGTTTTGTTACAAAGAAATACTCAGAAAAGTAAACATCCATTTTAACATATACAAAGTAAATTATTCTTATATAATGTATTAAGAAAACAACTATGATACATTTTAATATAACTAATAGCCACATATGCTTATTCTGTACTTATTCTATTTAAATTTATGTAAATATTGCTTTGAAGATGCACACTGAATTGCTATAATCTTCATACCAGTACTATTATTAATTAGAAATTGGCAATGATAAATAAAATACAAAATTTTTATTTCATCTACCTCAAAACGATTTGCAATAGATTTCTCCACAATAGATCTAGCTGGTAACCAAACATTTGCTGTGTAATTTATATGCTGCAAAAACTCTTCCCCAGTTAATTTAACTGCTTTGAGAAACTGTTCATTAACATCAGCATTCTTGTCATTCCACGCAAGGTTTAAGAATTTAACACGAGAAGATAAATCGGTTACAATAGAATATCTAAAATGTGTAATATATTATAAAAATTAAACTTGACACCTTAAGTATATATAACAATGATACTCTTAACTTACACAGGTTCCTCTTCGAACATGGGAATCCCATTATCAATACCATCAACTTCTTTAATGAGGGTATTATAAACTTGTTTAAAAATTAATTCTACATCATTGTCACTTGCTTGCGGAACCACTTCTTTAATAATTTCATGACCAAAATGACAATAAATTAATCCAGCACTACTTAATTTAATTTGCGAATCATAACCTGGTTTCTTTATTACAGTGCTTAATGATTCTACAAAATTCCTGATTTGTAAATTAATAAGAGTTAATTCATCATATTTTCTTCATAAAAAAACGTGCAAAATCAAACCATACTTCATATGATGATCGTAACGATGCTTGGAAGGATCATATTCAGCACCAACATCAACCACAATATCACAAGTATCTAAAATACTCATATCACGTGATCTATGAGTATAAAATATTCAATATTAAATAACACATACAAATTCACTACAATAATATACAAAATTCTATACTTTTATTCAACTTATTCATAAATATATTTACAGTTTCTGTTGCAAAAGCTATCTAGCTTTATTAGAATATCTTACCTCACTATAACAGCATCTTTGTATCTTGGTAGTAGTTTCAACATAAAACAAGCCAGCGCTTCATCGCAATGAAAAGTATTGTCATGTGTTCCGATTTTCACATGTTTCGTCATCGTTACAGACTTCCACGTTTTAGCTGAAGTATGAATTAAGTTGCTTGGTTGAACAAATAGCTTTATGAAATTCCGTAGAATCATACCAAAAGTTCCCTTAACCGTAATAACCACATTAATAATTAAATTATACTCTCACCCTAATAAAAAGAAAGCTCACAAAATATGATAAGATCACTATTATTTTAATTTTGCTCACGTATACATAACCTTGAATCAAGTCATATGTACAGCGTGTAACCGACAACTATCTAGTAGGAGTTTAGCATAATCGGCCAATCAGAAATTACACGTACTACACTTGCGTATATACGAGTTTACACTATAAAAGTACAACATAATACGACATTTAACTCACAAACAATTTGAAACAAATAACACGTATGATTTATATCTTATTGTAGGTTGAAAATGTGATCTTATATGGTATATAATTAGGGATATTCTAATGAAAATATTTATTAAAAAAATGTTTGTTTCTCAAGCACATTTGAAAACATGATATTTACATAAATATATTTTTGTTGGTAATATAATATACAGAAACAAATAATTTCTCACGAGTTTTATTATTTTAGACTACAATAATATTACGATACCGTGACATGTGTCTTGAAAGATGAATATATTTACAATTGTTAAGGGTACTTATACGAAATTACATTGATCGAATGACATTACATATTTCGAACTGCCTCTTCCGACATTAAGTGCGGAATACTATTTAGGAACGAAGATTAGATTAGATTAATCGTATTAAACTTGATGTTACAGAGAAAATTATATTTTTTGTAATGATCTCATTACTATGCTCGTTTCGAAAAGTTAACAATCATATCTTCGATACAAATATCAAAGGGAAAGGGAGAGGTAATTATGATGTCTTATGACGATGAAATAAATAAAAAAAAAGAGAGAGAAAGAAAAAGAAAGAAAAATGATCATCGTGCAGACCATGAGAATAAGAGATTGCACGTAGTATACAATTATTATTAACAGCGTACAGGGCTTCTTAACATCGATTACGTGTTACTCTACAGAGGTACACATATTTACAGAAACTATCGAATGTACACGCTGAGAACCGTTTATTAAACATTCTATACGCTTATCGACCGCATTAACTATCTATAACTGCTAAAACTAGAGCGGAATAAATTTACGTGAGAGCATGTATATATGCATACATGCATTTACTATATATACATATATACACGCGTGCAAAAGTGTAGGTATGCGTAGTGCGTATATATATGTATACTGTGTGAGTGTATATTATGTATAAAATAATATACACAGGTATATAGACATATACGCATATATTCATGTACACAAATACAATGTATGCAGACACATGCGCGCGCGCGCGCACGCACAACACACATATATGTATATGTTTATGGAAACTATACATTTATCAGTATCGACAGGAATTTCGATTCAAAGAATTATTTTTTCCGCTAAGAAGAACAAACATTAAGGATCTATGAATCTAGATAAGTTTGCAACGAACACGATTGATCTGAAAAATTATTTTATCGACAGGGCAATTCGAGTATTTTCAGAGAGTTTCTTCTTCATTTTTCTTTAATATTACTGTACATCCTTGTTAATCTACTCATGCAGTTGCATCTAGCCAGCTGATACGAATATTCGTTCATTACATACGAATTTGTTGAGCAACGCGCGACAAATTTATTGCTGTATCCCTAGGGGTAATTTTCCACTGACGTTACGTCGTGGAAAACATCGATGCGACGTAGGAACAGACGTAATTCTCTTTATCCTAAAGAAAATCGATAGAGGTCTGTTGTTCGACTATTAGATTCAATAAATTTGTACGAGAAAGATTCTGATCTGTTAAATAAATGCAGAATGCTTGCTCGTGTATTCCTATGTTGAATAAGGACAGTGCAAGTCATGATCGTTTATCTAAGTTTGATATTTGGATGCTGTTGTATTTTGAGTTTCTCACTTGACTTTCAATTCATAAATTCTTCATAAAATAACAATAATTACTAAATATCAGATCACAAAATTATAAAGGATTGAACCACAATGAAAGAAAGCAATAAAAATTCAATATAATTATCGATGAACATAAGAATACAGTTATATCCAAATATCGATTTCTACTTTATCGTCCGATCATCCTACTTTATCGGCCAACTGATTACACTTTATCATCAGAGCAATTACTCCACTACTCCATCTTATTTTTCTTCTTTCTCTGTCTATCACTTATATGAAAAATAGAATATACAGCTTTGTAATCATGTACTACCTCAAATATTTTATACGCTGAAAAAGGAGCGGGATCACTCGTAACATAATTAACTTCGAGTCAACCGATTGAAATACTACATAGCACTGTCATTCAACCATAAGTTCTCTTAAGTTTATCGTTCCCGTCTCCCAGTGAACTGCGTGTTCGAACTTCTGAAGCATATTAATTTTAATAAGTGTGAATCCATCATCGTCATGTACAGGGGTTATGGCAAATGCTGAGGGAAAGAGGCGCCGCCCTTTTCCACGGGATCTTACCTATTAACAATATACATAAATATACACTAGGGGAGGCCGCGGATTCACCAATCACCAAAATCAACGTTGCCAGCAGACACGAAGGGGAGGGGGTATAAATCTGTCGAAGATCCTGATTTTCCTCGTTACCACTGCCTCTTCAGGCATTCCTTGTTTCGAACGTCATGGCGACAGCTTTGACTTTCTTCATCAAAAGCGGTCCCCTCTTCGCATACAAATCGGAAGTCGAGCACCTGCCTCGAAGTGAACCCAGGAGAACAATAATGAAATAATCTGCAGTCTCTATTGTCGCCGTAAAAGCGATACATTTCCTTCTCCAAGCAATTGAATCCATCCTGCTTCTTCAGGGATGTCGGTTTTCGACTTAGGGATCTCATCGTTGTTGATTCTACATCTTCATTTTGCTTAGAGGTGGTTTCCGTAGCAGTTGTCGTTTGCGGAGCTGAAGAAACTAGAGGGACCTCCGTCACATTCTCATCCACGAGATTGGTAGACGAAGCAATTGACGTTTCTTCCTCTGTGGTTGACTTAACCGTGGTCGAGGATGGTTCTTCAGATTTATCTGGCTCAATCGAGGTGAAAGTCATCGGCAAAGCTGTAGTACTGACTATTTCTACGTCTACCAGAGTGGAATCTTTAGGCTCAGTTGCCTTCTCGGTCTCTGTACTAGTATACTCGACTTCCTTCGACATTTTCTCTGTAGTAGAGGCGAAGGTAGATAGTCTAGAAGTAGCATAGGACGTGAAACTTTCCTCTTCATCGTGTTTTACATTCGTTGGAGACTTTTGTTCGCTTGGACTAGGGATTTGATCGTCTTTGCTCTTCAATTGGACCTGGTCCTTGTGTACTGACCCATTTGGAGACTTCGATTTATTCGCGAACACATTCTGCTCAGGCCTGCTAACTTCCGTGGTAGTCATTAACGTCTCTGTGATCGCCATTTCCGTAGTTTCCGTCGAATCCTCGTCCATATTAGTCATTGTGGTTATCGCAGTAGTCGGTTTACGAGATAGTAAGGTGAACTTTCTGATCACTGGCTTGGGTGCCAGTTCGTTGTATGATTTAGGTGGCTTCGCTGGCTTCGGATTTAGTAGACTCAACCTCGGTTTAATAACCACGGGATTCGGAGTCGTCGTTGGAGGGATGTAATTATAATTCTTCCTGGCAGAGATCGGTTTGAATAATTTTGGAGGTGTAGGACGAACTGTCGTTGTCGTGGTAGTGGTTGTTGTAGTCGTGGTTGTAGTTGATGTTGTCTGTAATAAGTCGGTTTTCTCTGTATTGGAGTCTTTTGGACTCTCAGTTTTTTCTGTGTCGTAGTCTTTTGGACTCTCAGTTTCCTCTTCCTGGCCTCTTTCAGGTTCTGTGGTGGTTTCTGACTTGTCTTCCTCGTTCTCTTTCTTGGTGTTCTCCAATTTGCCATCAGCCAGCATTTCCTTATTAGTTTTCTCGTCGCTTAAACTGTTAGAGTCCGAAGAGTCACGCTCTTTATAATTATCAGGCTCATAATTATCATCGACGTAATCGTGAGCAATATTTTCGACAGATTCCGATTGTTTCTTAGTCTCTGGCACGTCTTCCTTTTTATCTTTAGGCAACTCGTCGGTGAATTTGAGGACACCTTCGGTACTTTCCTCCTGATCACTCAAAGTATGCTCATCTTCATCGCGATATTCAGGGGTCTCTTCTCTAGCACTAGTTGTTTCTTCGAAATTAAGATTTTCCGAAGTGACAGTGGCATCTTCGGAACTTCCAGAATCCCCGTAGTCATCTTCTGCGTCCATTTCATGAGTACTTTCGTAAAATGCCTCGGTAGAGTCATGATACTCTGCGGACGTTTCCTGAGAATTGATCTCTTCGCTCTTGGTTGTTGAGTACTCTCGGGATTCCGTCTCTTCCTCTTTCTCACCTTCAACTGTTTTACTCTTATCCTCTTTGTAAGACAATGTTTCCTTCAGCGAGTCATCCAACTTCATACTCTTCTCCTTGCGAGAACTTTTGCTTACTTCGTGTTTGTCTTCTTCGGCATCTTCGTTGTTTAAGACTGTGGTTGATTCATCTTCGACAGCTTCGTGCTCTATCGAAGACACTTCCTCGTAGTAGTTTTTCTCTTCCATTGAAGAGTTCTCCGTAGGAGCTGCAGGCTTTTCTACGTCATCATCGAACGCTGGTTCTTCGACATCCTCCTCTTCTTCAAATACTTTTTCGTCCAAGATCGATGTCGTTGTTTCGTCCTTATCCTCTAGAATTTCCTCCACGTTCTGTTCATCTTTCTCCGAAGTTTTAGATTGCTTCTCCGAAGTTTCGTATTCGTTAGCCTCACTTTTTCTATTCTCCTTTCCTGAATCCTGATCCTTGCCAATCTGTAGATTCTTCAAGTAACCACCATGACTATTTATAGCCCTAACATCGACTTCCTTCGAAGTCCGGGATTCTGGTTCATCGAATATGTGCTTGTCAATCTGTTCAGCTTTAGAATCGATCGTTGCTGCAGTTGATTCTATCTTCTGGTCAAGAACATCAGGTAATTTGACAGATTCGTTATTTCCATTCTTGGTCTCCTTTTTCCTGGCAGATATTTTAGCTCTGGAAGATCTGATCCTGGAACTTCTTCTTTTAGCAGCTGGTTTCGACTCCATAGGTTTCTCTTTCTCACTCTCCTCCTGTGGATTTTTTCCCCGGTTATTTACACTTTGCTTCAGCTCTCTGCTTTCTTCAACAACGTCTTCCGAACCTTTAGGGTTACTGGAGTTAAGTTCCCCTGTCGAATCTTCTTCTATTACCGCTTCAGTGGTTTCTTCAGTCGTGGAAAGTATTGGGATTTCGGTGAAGACTTCAGTAGTACTCGAAGAGTCCTCATCTTTGGATTTCAACTTCGTATATTCGTGTGGCTCGAGAATGACCACATCGATGACTCGTTCTGGCTGTTTGGATATAGAATCTGCTTTATCTTCATCGTTCGTATTGTTATTCACGTCAGAAGAGGTCTCCTGTTCCTCTTCTTTCTCGTAGTCAGGTGTTTCCACTTCTTCGTCCTTTAAATTTATCTCGATATTTCCCTTCTCATCAGCATCGATATATTCTTCGGCATCGGATTCCTTAGTATTTAACTGCAAAGGAATTTCAAGCCCTTCTGGATGTTCCTCAGCCTTGCCTTCCTCATTTTGTTGTTCTTCTTCGGCCTCGTCGTCATACTCCTTCGCCTTAAAATACTTGGAAGCCTTTGTTTCTAGATCCTCCAATGAATCCTTCTTCAGTTTATTCGTGCCCCTATCAGATCCAATTCCCTGTAACCTGCTTCCCTCGAAAACATTGCGAATAGTGTCCTCTGTGAACTCTCCTCCAAATAGGATATCCCTAAACCTCATCAGGCTCTCTTTGATCGACTTGAAGTCCTTGTTGTCGTTCTGAGTATCGACATTTTTGTCCACGTCTATCAATTGGCCGTCTTGTTTCCTCTTAGAATTGCCACCATAGACGAAGGAAACCATGGAACTTTTAGTCTGGCCAACAGACCTCTTGAATCTCCAAGTTCTTTCACCTTCGCTGCTCCTCCTAGGAATTCGTCTGCTGCTTCGAATCTTTGGAACGTCTCTGTAGAATGGGTCAAAGGACTCGTCACCCTCTTTGTAATCATCGTAGCTAGCTGGAATCGTTGGAAGAGGAAGAGTCACCAACTGGGTGGTGTTCAGAGGTCTGCCAGACTCGTCACTAACGCTTGCCTTGGCTGTTACGATGACTCTTGACTGAGAAGGTAGCAGGGACGATGGATTCTGAACTATTCTTTGAAGATCAGGAGGTGGTAGGTTGATAGTGATCTGGTGGGGCTTCAGTTGGGGTATCTGCACAGGGGGCAGCACGTGTATGTGTTGGGTAACCTGTTCAATAGTCGATTGAGAAGTTTGAGGAGGCTTGGAAGAGGTTCTTGGCGTTGGATAGAAGGACCTGATCGTGGTTTCGTCAGTTGCTGGAGTAGGTAGGAAGTTTCCTGAAATTCTCTGTTGCTGGGAGCTATGGCTGCTGGTTTTCGTTTGCACTGATCTTGATGATTCGGGTGTTGGCACCGGAGATATCGTTAACTTTGAGACCTGAAAGGAATTTGTCGATTAAAATTTGCAGGTATTTTGCAAAAAATATAATTTCTCATCAGTGAATTGGTTAATTGAAATATTGCTAACTTAAAAATTTTTAAGATTGAGATTCCACTCGAATTAAAATTACCTTTCCTTTGTTGGTCGACTGGACAGCTTCCAATGGTCTAATACTCTGTTCTCCATTCTCACGATAGTCAGATGTTTCCCTAGGATTATTACTGTGAATAAATTGCTCCGTGGTACTGGCAATTCCGTGATTATGAAAGATAGGATTTATCAACGCTGGGCTGTTTCCATTGCTATTTAGCAGTGTCTGGATAGTGGAGGAGGTCGCATGGAACAGTGGCGCCACTGTCGACGGTTCGTTATGGATGATTTGTGGGCTCGAGGTCGAGCTAAACCTAATCTGATGAACCTGAGGCGGCTGGACAGTGGTCGAACTAACACCCTGATTGCTGAATAATTGATAAGAAGTAGCCTGTTGATTATTATTCCTTTCTCCGTTATGGAAAATATATTGGTGATGATATCCGCCATTTTTGTCGTCATACAGTGATTTGGATTGGCTGGTGTGGACCTGAGGGAACGGAGGTTGAGGTTGGAAGTGTTGAGGATATCCTGTAGGATGGGAAAAGGAATTGGGGGATGGTGTCGTAGATGGTTTGTTCGGTTTCGAAGTTGTCGTGGATGTTGTAGTTGTCGTAGTAGGTCGTGATGACGTAGTGCGTTGATGGTCGTCCAGTCCATCCGATGACTCGATATCATCCTCGCTATTTTCGTGCAAACTGTAAGCAGTTCAATTATTAAAGCGTTATTTATAATAATGCTCAATTTAAAAACAAAAAAGGAATTTCGAAAATTGAAGATTGGAAAATTAACTTTATTAGTATTGCTTTAATTATAATCCCTTATAGATTGAGTAACTGGAATAATTGAATGGAAATAAATTATCAATAATAAAGAAAACAATGAAAGTATTAATAGAAGGTTAATGGGTAAATACTATTCAGATTACAATTAATAACACAGTCTGTAGCACATAACAAAAGGAACAATTTTTGTTCAGTAGACATATGTTCCATCTCTTTCTATTTTTTACTAATAAATGTCCAAAAATTAAGTAATTAGGCGCCTGACATCGAGCAACCCGGCAGCGTATTCAGGCGGCGCGTGGCTGCCTAAATGGTTGCTCATCTCTAGGCGTCTAAAATTTCAATCTTGTAACCTCAGTTGCTCAAAAATGAAACGAGATCGGATATATATTTATTAAACAAAAAATATTCCTTTCCTAATCCTCTATTTTTTCATGCTTAATTAAAATATCTGTGATTCTTTTTGTTCTTCCAGTACCTTCAGACATATTGTAATTTATCTGTTACCCTATCCATCTTTCCTTTTCAATTTTCCATTTCATATTGTATATCGAAGAAGCACGATAAATAAACAATAATAAATTTCAATTTATTTCAAATTCTGTTGCAATTACCGACACTCTTCGCATTCTCAGTGTCTCGAAAGATAACACACAGGATATATAATGGCAGTATGCGTCAAATAAGGAACGACCGATCGAAAATCGGTAATATACGCAATCACCACGCCTCTCGATCCTGTATCACGCGAGCTACGTAAGTAAAACCGGCAGGTATGCGAACGAATGCACCTTTGGTCCTTACGAAATCGTGTTCAGTATAGGTGAACGTCCAGATAGTCGCGGGCAAATATTTCGTACGCGACAGCTGAACCGAGTCGCGACAATAATTATTTTCACCAGCCAATGAATTCCTGTTAGTTATGTCCTGCCGCGAAAGGGTACCAGGAGAGCGAAAATGTTATACACCGGACTCGTTTCGGTAGAACAGAGTTGATATTAGCGAGTTGTAACCGGATAAGAAGCTTTTAGTAGAAAATGGAACTGTTGCATATTTTTTTTTCAGATAGCAGATATGGCGACTTCAATTACGTAAGGCGAACAGTTGCTTTCCTCATGTTGATTCGTTGAGTGTGAATACTGAGTTATACTTTCAACATTCTCAGGTATTATACACAGTTTAATAGTTTTCTCAATAAGGAAAATGATCGAACCACTCATAAATCGGAAAAATTATTTATTATGTGTGTTCAACAAGTAGCACATCCCACCATTGTTATACATACACTATTGTACTATATGTACTATACTATGACATTTGATGATGACTTTAAACGTATTACTAATCGATATCATAATTTACTATAATAAATAATTATCCAGTATACTTTTAGAATATAAAATAAAGTAAATACAAAAGAATGCAAATTTAAAAGTGATTTAAAATAAAACAAATATGAAATGAATTCGAAATAAAATAAACTCAAAATTAATTTAAGAAGGTATTTTAGTAATACGACTTAAAAAAATCAATTCTTTCTTTCTTTTATATTTTCTCAAATGATATACTTTGAAAAATGTCTATGTGAAAGGATTTGTTCGAATTCGTAAAATTAGCAAAGTTATAGATGTTTAAAGTACTGCGTACAGGTATTGTACAAACAGGTATTGGAAACCATATTTTTTGATATGGCTGATGGAATATCTCGCGTTTTAGTTGAGCAATTGACTTAAAATTTCGAGGAGATCTTCACTGAATATTACTTTATCGTATAAACTACGGATTTCAAAGTCTGACGTTTCTTTCTATTTTTGTTTATCACCCAAAGGACAAAAAGCACAAGGAAAATGGATATTTAAATTTCAAAATGCTGCCATTATTTTAATCTTGGAAATTTTGCTGTTTCAGTGGTACATACTATAGCCGTATTTATACTAATTAAGATGCTTTTTAGTTTTCTCATTTTAGATAATCAGATGGTCCAGAATCGTATCAGCCATTCGAGCCCGTTTTTGAAAACATGATTTACCTAAGGCTATATAATTTCCATAATTTTCAATAATTTTGTTAAAAAAAGAAAATGGAAATATTCTTTACGTATAAATAAATATGAGTGCGAAAACTGTATATCAGAATGTATTATGGTTTCCTTAGAAAATATTCCAAAAAGGTCGATTTTTATTGGCCGGATTGCAAGAATATTCGTTTATGATAAATAAAATTTAAAATCAAATTAAAATAAGGCACGTCTCAATGAGAAATAAATAATCGAATCAAGCGAAGAATAAAGCAAAGTTATCGTAAAAATGCAGTTAAATTGATGTTATTATCAAATTACCTGAGAGTGACCGCATTGTTCCCATAGAGTTCCAAGTTCAAGTTGTAGAATCGCTCGCTCTTGCTGCAATCGACCTCGTCCACCCTCTCGCAGACCCTGGTTTCCTGATCGAAGACGGTTCCATTCAGACAGAGGAACTTTATGTCCATAATCTCGTCTGAAACCAAGTCTCATGGTGAAGGACAGGGTCATTATTCGGGGATGCTCTTCTGGGTCATGATTGTCGAGACGTTTTAGACGTCTCTCACCACTTCAAACTAAGTTTAATTACCCTAGCAATTTTGTAATGTATGTACACGTTTGTATGTATTGTAGCAAATATTTAATAATAATAAGAACGAGGAAATTTTGCTTTCAGGTGAATATTTATTAATGGATGTAAAGGTTCAGATTAGAAAGTAAAGGACAATCGATCACTATTTAGTGAGTGGAAAATATTTCTGATTTGGTGTACTTAGGTATGAAATACGTTATAGATATCAGAAATTATGCTTTTCTAACAGTACTATTAAATATCAAAAGAGTGTATTTTTGCCATGAAAACGAGAGTTTATTAGTAATTCTACAAAACAGACAAAATTTATAGACGATCATGGAATTAGAATTTTTATAGAAATTTAATTTTACAAGAAGTTTTTATCAAAAAGAGGTGAAATCTTTATAGAAGCTTTATATTTTAAAAAAGGGAATAAAAATATGTAATGTAAATGTGATATAAATATGCCAAAATTTTTATGGGAAATATACGATATATTATAAATATTGTACAATTATTTCTATAGCAAAGGTTGTACCAAAGCAATTAAATTCGAAAGTAACAAACTACATGTACGATTTTGATCAAAAAATCAAAAATCATACCAAGAAAATACTTCTTTGTTACTTGAACTGTTTCGAACAGTTTAATGCATGCAAAAATAATAAAATATGTTAAAAATATTGCATGCCAAAAGAATACAAGGTCCTAAAAATAAAAATACAAAATTCAATACATGAAAAAACTATAAAATAATGAACTATAAAAAATTTGCATATCAAAAGATCATTAATGGATCAAAAAATATTCGAAAAATTTTGGTGAAATATTACGTCAGTGCATCAAAATATGACGAAGTTTCTAAATATGTTTTGTCAAAAACAAAAAAACAAAAAAAAGGACAAGATAATAAAAAACGACACTGCTTCAGATTTAATGCAGATACTCGAGCAAAGGTTAGACGATCGAATCGATCCCTCGTGACGAGTCGAAGCCAGACGATCTCGACTTAGGTCAGTAAACGTTCCTCGACGACCGTGACATTCTCTTCCGAGTGATCTCTCGATCGATTACAAAACTTCGATCGGCGCTCGCCAGGCCCCCGGGCGGGCCTCTCGATCCTTCGATCGCTCGATCAATCGATTTGTCGAGTCTCGACACCAGTTCTAGCTGACGTTAACTTAATTATCGATTCTAATTGTCACGACACCGAATTAACGATAAGTCGATCGATCGATCGCCTGGGGAGTCAGTCTAGGATTAATCGATCGGACATCGATCGTTCCAAGCAGCAATCGAACGTTTAATGTCGACTCTATTTTTTTCAATGGGAATTAGAGAGGTAAAAATGATATGAAATACTCGATTTTGATTAATTAGTTTTTCTTTTTTGAGAAATGACCTGGAATAATTTATTTTATTTTCTTATTTACCATCGTTCTCACTTTCGTTATATTTTTTCTCGTAATTTATTTTATATTTTTGTTTCTTTATTTTTGAAACAAAAAATAAAATAATTTAGTTTGGAATAAGGAGGGAATTTTTTAAGTATGTTTTGATGTTTGTTAAGTCTGCTTGAAAATGAAGTTAAAATGGAGGATTTTTGGTTTCGATTAATGTATTATTTATGGTACTTAGTTAAGCTTGTATGTTAATTAAGAATAATTAAAATGAGTCTATAATTGAAATTGGAATAATTACAGTTTTGTTTGACTATCGTGTTCTAAGGAAGAGAATTATTCTGAGTCGAGTACTAATTTAAATTATTTAACTTGAATCGAGTATAGGAAAGTGTTGTAGAAATATTGCTGAATTACCTTTTTGACCAATTGTGCACACGTGGAACATCTGACATCCGACTTCAACATCTGCATAATACCCACCAATCACCTTCCCTTGACACGAGAAATTCGTCTCTGGCAGGTTGTCGAAGTCCAAATACTTGGGAAATAATTATTACAAATGTATAAAACGTTAACAGTAAAATCACTCTATAAAATTATAAAATTATTCGAAAACAATTTTTAATTTCGAAAATATTATTTCAAATTAATGAACAATGACTATTTTAAAGAAATAAAAGTTGTAGAAAAATGAGCATAATTCATATTTTCTTTTTAATGCTCTTTAATCTCAAAAATGTATTCGAAATAATACAAGAATTGAAAAAAATGAAATCCAAAGCTAAAATCTGGGACACAACTATATTACTACCTTCTTAGAAATTTCGATATTTTATTTACATTTCTATATCGAAGAATTTTTCATATTTTATTTGAGCTTCTAACCTCATTAATTTTTAATTTAAATTTAAGTCAGTCACTGTATTGAAAATTTAAAAATACTTTATTCGAGTCTCTACTTTCTCGAATCTCTAATATTTCAATATTTTGTACAAATTTATATATATTCAATATATGTACAGTATAAATATTTTTAATATATTTTAATATTCATTCGTATCTGTACTGCTCGAAATTTGAAAAAATTTCATTTGTATATATTTTACTTTAATATTTTGTTTTTTAAATATTCTGTATACTTATATGAATTTATATAATACTGTTAAATACTTATATGAATTTTGATAATTCATATCCTGTACATATCTTTACCTATTTATATATTTCGATATTTCGATATGTTCATATTTCGATACTACGGTATTTCAATATGTCCATATTTCGATATTTCGATATTTTAACGTTTCGATATCTCGATATTTCAATATTTCAACGTTTTGATATCTCGATACTTCGATATTTCAACGTTTTCATATCTCCATATTTCGATATTCCGATATTTCGATATTTTAACGTTTCCATATCCCGATATTTCGATATCTCGATACTTCTATAACTCAATATTTCGATATTTTAACGTGTCGATATCTCGATATTTCAATATTTCAACGTTTTGATATCTCGATACTTCGATATTTCAACGTTTTCACAACTCCATATTTCGATATTTCGATATTTCAACGTTTCCATATCCCGATATTTCGATATCTCGATACTTCGATATCTCGATACTTCAATATCTCAATATTTCGATGTTTCAACGTTTTAATATCTCTATATTTCGATATTTCAACGTTTTCATATCTCGATATTTCGATATCTCGATACTTCGATATCTCGATATTTCGATATCTCGATACTTTGATATTTCAACGTTTTGATATCTCCATACTTCGATATTTCAACGCTTTGATACCTCGGTACTACGATATTTCAACGTTTTCATATCTCAATATTTCGATATTTCAACGTTTTATTATCTTGATGTTTCAACATTTTGATATTTCGATATTTCGAAATTTCGATATTTCCAAGATTTTAAATATTATGAAATTATGCAACATGTCGTTTAAGATATACTCACGCCAGGTTCCCCCGCGCTGCATAACAAGGAGCCATGCTGGAGGTTGAGGATCGACAATAAAACTGCAACAAGGAAATAAATTGCACCGAAATTAATTGGACAATCGAAACTTTCACATATATACATACAAATAAAATAACGAAAGTTGCAGAATGAAGGTGTCGCGCGAAATCGAAAATTATTTTCACGCTACAGAAACCAAAAGAAAATATACGTTCGGCACGAGGATAATTTACTGAACTAATTTATGCGTTTGCGTAACACTTCTACCCGGAGACCCTGTTACACCAGTTACAGTTATAATTACGAGCAACTATCGACACGCACCGAGGTCGTTGCTCTGGAATATTCTATACTTGTATCTTGAAAAATTTCATCTATTTCTAACAACCACTGATATATCGTATGCAATCTTATTAATCATAACTTTCGATTACGTTGTTGACAAATAGCTTGCTACTCGGTGAAAGATCGAAGAAAGTCGATCAATACGTGTAGCCTTTTATTTCACTCTTGAAAGTTTAATTTACCTGTCGTTGGTAAAAGGTTGCTTATACAGCTTATGGCAGATTACGAAATTCGAGAACCGTTTTTCATTTTTCATAATGAAAACATATTCTTTCTTACAATATATCATATTAATTACAACAATTAAGTTGTACCTTATTAGATTCTACATCTCACCTTTCCTTAAAGATGACTTTATTATTCATTCAAATTATTTAAAATGGCAATTTATGTCTTCTTTTTAATAAACTTAAAGCTTCCAAAATTGGTTTAAACCATAGGCAAAATTTCCACGTTTATAAAACAGAAATTCTTGCAAGATCTCTAGAACCAAAATTCCCCAAGTCCCGGAAGAAAATCCCCAATTAATAAAAGAAAACGATAATTTCTAAAATTTCAAAGAATCTTTTAAATTCCTGACAGAAAAATTCCAAAATTCCAAAATTCCAAAATTTCGAATTCGTAAATAAAAATTTTCAGAATCTCAAAGGAAATTTCGAAATTTATGATAATCCAAAAATATGAAAAAGTCCGGATTATTAAAAAATCTCAGGATCGTATATGCAATAAGCAAATTCCTTTCCCTTGCCACACAGGACACGTCACTTTGCCAGTGCCAACCAGTGTCAAACCGGATCGACTTATAGAAATGGGCGATGGAAAAATGTGCCGATTTCAGAATCACTTGTCATCGGATCCGGCCAGAGCATTGATTTCAATCGGTGTTCGTCAGAAAAATGATTATTAAATAAAGTAGAATGTCCCGGCGGAGAGAATCGATCGGCGATCGAGTGGCCAGTTGTAGGCCGAGGTTATCCGGTGTGCACGCGGGCCATCCAATCAGAAACGTCCCCGGATCCTGTCGATCTCTCGCGAATCTAATATTCGCGATCGAGGTCTTTCGCATAGCTGCAATCGGTTTCCACGATATCGTGGTTCTGTCGTGAATTCGATCGAGATCGTGTGAAAACGGAAGTCCTCCGTTTGAAAGGGGGTGAGAGGTGGGGGGCGGGGATAAAGATAAACGTACGTAGGTAATTACGAGTTATGGGGTAACGCGATTAATGTAAATTGTATTCCAATAATGTCAACTATCGTATATCAATTGTCAAATTAATATTAATTTTCGAAATGTATTATAATTTTTTGATTATTATAAATTTAATGAAATTAATTAATTTGAAACAAAGTAGTATTATTTTAAAGCTATATTATAATTACTCTATAATTATAGAAATTATGTAAATAAATGATTTGTAACGGTGCTGATAGCTTTGATGACTTCTTGGTTTGAAAGGGGGTGGGAGGTGAGAGAAGGGGATGAAGATAAACGTACGTAGATAATTACGAGTTGTGGAGTAACGTGATTAATGTAAGTTGTATTCTAATAATATCAACTATCGAATATCAATTGTCGAATTAATATTAATTCAGTATTAATTTTCTTATAACTTTTTAATTATTATAAATTATAATATTTTAATTATTATAAATTTAATGAAATTAATTAATTTGAAACAAATTTGAATTATTTTATAGCTATATTATAATTACTCTATAATTATAGAAATTATGCAATTGAATGATTTGTAGCGGTGTTAATAGCTTCGATGACTTCTTGGTTTAAAAGGGGGTGGGAGGTAAGAGGAGGGAATGAAGATAAACGTACGTAGATAATTACGAATTGTGGATTAACGCGATTAATGTAAATTGCATTCCAATAATATCAACCATCGAATATCAATTGTCGAATTAATATTAATTCGGTATTAATTGTTTTATAATTTTTTGATTATTATAAATTTAATGAAATTAATTAACTTGAAACAAAGTTGAATTATTTTACAGGTATTTTATAATTACCCGATGATTATAAAAATTATGCAAATGACTGTGGTAATGGTTTCGATGACTGCTTGGTTATCAATGATGTGGCTGATTGGTCAAGCATAGGCGAGTGTAATCGTGATGTAAGTCGAAACTGATGATATTCGATTGGCAATCGTCGAGTAAATTGGTTAAATAAAATTGCATTAGTGCTGTGATTCGACGTTTTTACGAAGTTCGTTAATGTTATTAAAATTGTGGAAAGTTGGTGAGGTAATGTGTAAGGTGTTTAGGCATGGAGGTTGAAGAAATGAGAATTTCAGTGGAAGATGTAAATATAGGCTTAGGATCTGATTAATTTAAATGTTGAAATACTTAATCTATCCCTAAATATCAAACATATAAATAATTCGTGAATTTAAAATTAATTAAATAAATATAGTTAAATTATTTGATATTTGCAATTTTCTTGGGATAAAGGAGAAAAATATTTAATATCTCGAGCTATGAAATTTATTGAAATAGTCACCATTAAAAAATCAGAAAATATTCTGTTTGAAGATATAAATATTAAATATTAATATGAAGTGAATATAAATATAAAATAGTAAAAGTATTAAAATATAAATATTATATTATTTGTGTTAAAACGATTGATCATTATTCATTACAGAAATTATAAATCTATAAATTACAGGAGTTTATAAAATGTATAATAATATTTATAACAATTTCCAATATAATTAATTTATAAAATTCTACTTTTCTATAGCAAGAACAAACTTTATATAGGGAAATTAAATATTAAGGTTTAGGTTTTTGGAAATTAATATTTATAGTTATATTTAATAGTATAGCAAATTAAAAAAATTTTGTTTTTCTTTTAATAATTCGTGGAATTTTGGTTTCTATTATGGAATTTTTTATGTGGGACCGTACTTTCCATTTCTCTTTCCTTTCCCTTTCTAACCTTCCACGCAATATGCTCCATTATATGTAATACATTCATTTTAACACGGTTTTTTAACAATTCGTCTCGCTGTGGTGAAGTATGTCATTGATCCAGTTGCTTAACAAGTCTTCATTCCACATAAAAGCTGAACCTTCACTTATAGTATATTATATAACAATAAAGTAGCGAATTTATTTTAAACACAGATTCTTAATAATTCTTTCATTTGTCTATTTATATAAAGAATGTCAAACGATGCAACGAATTTTTAAACGAAATATTTCTAAAACATTCAAAAACATTTTTAATTTTTAATAATTTTTAACAAGCTTTTTATTGTAGTATATTAATATTGACAATTAATATTTGGTTGGTTAAATTAAATGTGTAGGATATCTAATTCACGCATTTAATATATTAATTAATGTAGAACAAATTAAATCACTGCAAAAAGCATACTTAGAAAATTTCAACAACAATTTAGTAAATAAAATATTAAATCTAGTATTACAAGGCAAAGAATAGAGATTTTCTATAGTAAAATATCGTACATACCAATTTAACAATTTTATAACTAGATAAATGTAAAATTTATTTACCATATTCTAAGTTTAAATTTCTTTAATCTTTTCCATTTTTTAATTTTATCTTTCTTCTAAAATAAAAAATCCACTTAACCTAAAATTTGTATGGGTTACTCTTGTTATAAATTTCTTTTTATCGTAAAAATTCAGAACTGAAATCATGGGAGAATAGTGAAAATATTTATTAAATTACACGTTTAATAATTACAACACATTAGCATAACGTGAAAACAAGTGAAAAAGTATATGTATATTTCCCTAGACTCTCGCCTTGGAAACTGATGATCACTCTTTCATCTCTAGAAAGCTAGACGGAGTTATTAATGACATTGCCTGAGGTGAAATTGACGGAAACTGTAGTCACGTGACATAATCAGAAATGCCTGGATAAAAGGTCAACAAATTCTCGAAGAAATTTTAGGGATCAAAAAGGAAGAAAGAGCTTCATCATTTAAATAAATCTCTTTTTATTCCTTCCGTAGCAGTAATTTATATTAAAAACAGAACGTCCTTTCTTTTTTATTATCCTACGTTATATTATTTGTGATAAAAATTTTAATTGATTTGATAGCACAGAATAGCGCAAATTTTCAAGAATTGGTAAGAAAAAGAAAGATTTTTATTTGACTATTCACTTGTTATTTCCATAATCTCAAATTCGTTTAATTACTTTTTTATATTCGTTTATGAATATTGTATTACACATTTGTACATTTACTTATTTATGCACGAGCGTCCATGATTTTTTTTTTTAAGTTCCATAGGATCAGATTAAGAAATATAAAATATACAAAATGCTAATTTCAAATAATTTAAAAGATTAAGTAATAAATACAAGTGGTTTTATATTCCTGCCTAGGTACGTCACTTATGAATCATCCTATATTTTCGTCGAAGAAAGATAATATATAAATCCAAATTTGTGAAATCTCTACACTTGGTAACATATTAATTCGCAAATCATAATGTGAACACTTTTTCTGTAACATTTTCATTCTTACACAATTAGACTGCACTTTTGAATCAACCTATAAACAAATCGAAACAAATAATTTTAAAAAATCGAATTCATAGAATTCCAACACGTTACAGCCTGTCGTTTACAATGCAAAATAAATACCATTTTTTCAATATTTTTCTACTCACAACCTCACATTTGAATCAGCCTATACTTTCGTCGAAGAAAAATATT